CAGAACCAAAACCAATACAGAAACAAAGGGGGAGGGGAGCAGGTAAAAAAAAAAAACAGACAAATAGTGACAAGTTCGGTTATTATTACCTTCAAGTCCTCAAATATATTTTAAGCCTTTGAACTAAAACAATGATATAGAACAAAGAAATCAATAGGTTCCATCTCAATAGAGGTTTCAATGAGTGATGATGAGAGTTACAAGTGTCTGATGACCTGTTAAGTTCCCTGGTATCATTACACAGTTTCACCTTTATCCCATAAGAACCTAAGGTTGTGGATGTTCCCCTTTTCAATAGTCTCATTTGCACCTATAGTACCATAGACATTGTTTTATATGGTAGGAAAATCAAGGTAAAATAAGGACTTTCCAGGTGCCCCAGTCCTGCCTAGAATCAGTATCTGTTAAAAAACTGAATGGAGTAATACCTGATGTTAAGACACAGACTAATAAATTTGAGCTATATATTTATGTATGTCTACATACACACATATATCAGTTCAACAATTTATAGGGAAATAGGGACATAGAAGCAGAAAACAATCCAAAAGTTGAAAAAAAAAAGGAAAAACCTCACAAAATTGACTTCAGTGTATATCTGGTGTGAAGTTCATAGTAGGAATGCAACTCATGATGTGGGCCTGACTCAGATTTTCCAAATGAATACGAGATGAGTGAAATGCCACTGAGTACTAGAAGAATGAGAAATATTTGAATTATCCAAGAAAAAAAATCAAAATCATTATCAAAATCATTACAAATAGAAGTACTAACCCAAACCCTAGTCTCCAACCAATAATCTATTACCCTCATCTTAATCTTTGAGTTCCTAAACCTTTCCCTATGCCTAATCCTTTCCCCAACACCAAATCCTAATTTTAATCCCAGTTCCCTAATCTTATGACTATCCCTAAACCTGATCCTTAACCCTTTCCCCAACTTCTAATCCTGATCCAAACCCCAACCCTAATCTTAACTTCTAACTTCAATCCGAGTCTTTCAACCCTGACCCCTAGCCCTATTCAACCCCATAACTCTATGTCTATCCTTATCCCTTAACCCTTTCTCTAGCCCTTATCCTATCTTTATCCCTAAACCTAACCTTGATCCTGACCCTACGAAAGAGTGCCATATCCTGATCCCCACTTTACTGTGCTTTTCCCTCAGATTCCAGTTGGGTATCTTCAGATTAACCAGGAACACCACTGTCCTTTAGTAAGGACGGGGAAAAAAACAAGTCTCTGAGGATGGATCTAAACTTTTGCCAGCAAAGGAATGAACTATTCTTAAGCCAGACAGCAATCATAAGTAACACATCCCACTTGCAAATAGTCACAAAGACGGTTTCCCATGGAAACCTGGGCATGGGGGAAATCCTCTCCAAACTTCCAGAAAGACATTCCTAGCAGATCCTCAACCACAACCTTGAAACACCCCCCCACACACCCCTCCGCTCCCTACTCCATCCCAAATGCCTCTGTCCAAATGTCAGGGCCAAGGTAAACATGGCCAAGCAAGATGCTGGTGACAGGGATGCCAGGGCCTCCACACACAAGCAGAAGCTCTTCCATGACACAGGCCTGTTTGCAAGGGCCGGGGAAAGCCTCTTCTCTAGACTGTTTCTATCAGAGATTTCCGGAGGCAGAGTCACTTTGCAATTTGTCTGCTGAGAGGGCAAGAGTGGCTCTGGCCTAGAGCTATGGACAGGTCGGCCTTGAGAGGATCCCTTCCTCCACGCCAGTTGAGAGAACATGACCGACCAGGAGGGCCACTGGCTTTTCTGGGCCTCTCGGGGCTGAGGACGTCACAGGCTGAGGGTGCCTAAAGGTGCTGCCTCTCAGGGACTCTTCCTCAGGAGCCACGGGAGACTCAAGGAGGTGCCGGGCTGTTCCCAAGCATGGCTCCTTTTCGTGTGAGAAGAGGATTTTTGCTTCCCACAGGTTGAGAATTGGCTTCTGTTTGGTGCTTTTCTCTGGAGTCAGCACAGGCCGGCCTTGACAGAAAAGGCCAGCTGCCGCCTTGCTATCTCCCAGCAAAGACAACTGAAAACTCTGACAGGGAGCAGGGCCTCCCCTTTCCAAAACAGCCTTCTGACCTTCAAGCCCAAGGAAGCTGACTGAGGATGGTGCAAAGGAGGTGCAAAGTCCCACACGGGGAAGAATGTTTGAGTGGGTGAGGGGATGGACACCCCCTTCACCCCCCCACCCCCTCCACACACAAGCCCCAACCTCAGGCAGAAACACTGTTTTCTGGCGCCAATCCCAATCCCAATAACAGACTTTCTGGTCAGGGCTGAAGTTTTTACCCCTCTGTGGCTTAAAAAAGAAACACACACAAACATACACACACACACACAAACACACACATCTGGGTCTGAAGTTTTTTCCCCTCCATGGTTTAAAAAAGAAACACACACACACACACACACACACACACGGGTCTGAAGTTTTTTCCCCTCTGTGGTTTCAAAAAGAAACACACGGGGTTGGAGCGATAGCACAGCGGGCAGGTTGTTTGCCTTGCACGCGGCCAACCCGGGTTCGATTCCCAGCATCCCATATGGTCCCCTGAGCACCGCCAAGAGTAATTCCTGAGTGCAGAGCCAGGAGTAACCCCTGTGCATCGCTGGGTGTGATCCAAAAAGCAAAACACACACATACACACACACACACACAGACACACACCTGGGTCTGTGCATCCGCTCTTTGGATGGCCAATTTTTAGAATAACTGTTTTTCTTTCTTTTTTTTTTCTTTGAAAACAGCCTGCTGGAAAAGGGACAGGATGATTAACCCTGGCAAAGGGCATGTGGATCTTGAAGGAAGTCATTTGCCTTCCCAAGAGCAGGGCAGCTCCGTGTGTGGAGTTGCCAACTGCTTGTCTCACTTCCTGTCTGGGGTATTGTTTCCAGGGGGAAGTGCCAACTGGACAGGCAGCGCTTTCCCCAAAGTGAAGAGTGCCCACATGAAAGCTGCCAGGTGTGCCAGCCACCGCGGAAGATGGAGCAGGTTGGGGCCCTGGCAGCGCTGAGCCGAGTGGCACTGCTCCCAGAGCCTCTCCCAATAAAGAGCCATTGTGGGAGCTGGACCCTCCCGTGTGCCCCACAAAGGGCTCCAATGAAAAGCACAATGCGGGAGTGCAAACAGAGACTTGAATGGAAGGGTAATCACTTCCTCCATCTCCATCCCATTATGGTCACCAAACTTCATCCCCGTGCTGCTGGCCGGCGGGAGGGGTAGAATGGTACAGATTTCCATTCATCAGCCTGATAAGGGAGAGTGATTGCTGGGATAACCGTCATGCGACCTAGGTGATGAATCTAGGCGGGGATGGGAAGGTGGGAAGTAGTTGTCCTGCACTGGGCAAAGGGAGGAAGGGAGGGAGGGGGATCACTGCATTCCTACCTGGAGAGCATTAGAAACTGTACTGCAACTCCAGGGAAGTCTGAGATTTACTCAGGCCTAGGGATTCTGAGCATCTCTGCATCGACGGTGGGATTAAGGTATGGGGCAGAAAGTCGGTGGGGATTGGGGAAGAAGGTGTCGCTGGTGAGGGTGGGTGCCGTGGGGGTGACACCTAGCTGTTGAATTTGGAGTCCCACAGACTGTTGCTCTAGGGTTGGGGCCTGAGAGGGTTCCGGCGCCAGACTGACTGAGGAGTAGTTTCCATCTGGCTGACCTGGAGTGACTCTTTATACAACAGCCAATCTCACTCAAAATTAAAAAAAAAAACTCTAAAAACCAAACAGATGCTGCTTTTGGCCATGTTTTCTTAAATGAATAAATAGGAAGGAACGGTAGAATTTGACATCATACACCACGTAGGTTAAATAGCTAAACCAATTTACTGCATTCCATGCAGCACAGTTTTAGATCCAAGTTTTTTTCTGTCTGTGAGTCAATCAATTTTTAAGCTGATTAGTTTTAACCAGATTAATGCAGCTTTTTTCCTCATCCCTTATTATCTGGAGCTGGAAATGTTATAATGTTTCTTCTTTTCTCTTTCTTTCTTTCTTTCTTTCTTTCTTTCTTTCTTTCTTTCTTTCTTTCCTTTCTTTCTTTCTTTCTTTCTTTCTTTCCTTTCTTTCTTTCTCTCTTTTTCTTTGTTTTTCCTTTCCTCCTTACCTCCCATCCTCCTTATTCCCCATCCCCCCTCCCTCCCTTCCACCCTCCCTTATGCCTGCCTGCCTTCTTCCTTCCTTCCTTCCTTCCTTCCTTCCTTCCTTCCTTCCTTCCTTCCTCCCTCCCTCCCTCCTTCTCTGCCTTTCTTCCTTCCCTCCTCCCTCCCTCTCTCCCTATCTCCTTCCTTCATTCCTTCCTCCCTCCCTTTCTCCCTCCCTTCATCCTTCCTTCTTTCCTCCCTTCCTCCCTCTCTTTCTCCCTACCTATCTCCTTCCTTAATTCTTTTCTTCCTCCCTTACTCCCTCCCTCTCTCCCATCCTCCCTTCTTTCCTTCCTCCTCTACATCCTTCCCTCTCTCTCTCCCTTCCTCCCTCCCTCTTTCCCTTTCTTCCTTCTTCCTTTCCTTCCTTCTGTGATTTACAATACTGTTGATAAAAATAACTTCAGGCTGATTTTGTTCCCACACCATACCCACCAACACAGTGTCATTGTCCCTCCACCAAAGTCCCAAGCTCCCTCTCACTCACTTCCACCTCATACTCTTAGTCAACTCAGTTTTTCAGGCTGCCTCTTAGGCTCGCTTTGCTATTAGTCATTTGTTACTCCCTCACTCTGATTCTTTATAATCTCCATGGCAGGGTCATTAAAAGCCATTCAAGTCACTGTCCTGTTTTTGTTTTCCTTCATCATATTTGATTGTGGTGTTTTAAATGACTGTGCTTCCACAAGTAGCTTACAATTACAAAAAGCCATTTAAAATATGCCAGTGTTTCAAGGTATGGTTACACCTTTGTAGCAGGATGCTTGTAATTGATGGGAAGTATAAGTAAATACGTCTTCTGTGATGCCTGTAGTCAATTATTCCTGTGATCAACTCACCAGAATTGAGCAAGATGATGGATTTGAGGCACACGAACTCCTCTCCCTGTAGATTCATCATACGGAAACGAGATGATGTAGCCAGCAACATGTCAAAGATCTCCACCATGCCCTCCACACATTTTCCTTGGTTCCTAGGAAAGAAGAGGGAAAATAGCAAAGTGTTGAAGAGCAGAAATATTATATTCCTAAAACTCAACTATCAACAACTTTGTAAAACACAGTTCTTTAATAATTGAATTAAAAATATAAATTATCACAGGTAAAGGGATAGGTGTTGAAATACTATATGCCAGAAATCCAATCATAAAAGTCTTTGTAATTTCATGATGACTAAATTAAAAATAAACATATGTAAATTATTAAAGATGGAAAAAAGAATAAAAATTACAAATTCCAAGTCAAAAAAATAAAAATGAAGAGCAGAAAAGGTTCCAAAACTCACAATACAGCTCATATCTATAAAAACTGACTGGCTCGAAATCTATAATGAAAGATTAAAGCAAGCAAGCAAGCACTGTTCTTCCGTTGTTCATCAATTTGCTCAAGCGGGCCCAGTAACGTCTCCATTGTGAAACTTGTTGTTACTGTGTTTGGCATATTAAATACATCGTGGGTTTCTCTTCAGATTGTATAAAAGATAAAAACAAAAGAAAAATAACCACAGCTCATTCTGGAGCTTGGACACTCATATCTAGAGGGCAAGACAAAGTAAGATTATTCCCATTAATAGGACAAGAATTTGAAATTCTTATGAAATATATTGTTTAATCTCAACTCTGTCACATCAAATATAGAGTTCTTTAACTTACAGATAACCAAAAAAGATTGAGTACATAATTTAATTAAATATTTACTATTATCTTCCTATCTTGTATTCCAGATATTGTGGTAGTTCTGGAAAGAAAAAGAGAGCCTCTACTGTAAATATGTTTAGGACAGTGGTTACTATAGGGAATCAAATTAGTTTTCTTTGTTACTATTCTAACAAAGTGATGTTGAGTTAAAAATTATTCAAACATATTCTGTACAAAAGAAACCATAAACAGGGACTGGATCTAGATAGAAAACTTTGATACTGCTGAGAATGACAAACAAGGACTTGCCTAATTAGTGGCATATGAGTTGAGTTATTCATCAATCTCACACTTTTTATTAGAAGTTCTTTGCATTTAATAGCAACCATCACCTTGTTTTACATGCTTTCAATGATATTTCAATTGCTTTATCATATTTTATTCTATTTTTCCACATCTTCTGCAAAATATTTGATTATTACATAATTTTTTTTTCATTTAGAGATTTAGAATAGTGGATATTTTGTTTTTGGTTCTTAGACCACACCTGCTGGTGCTCAGGGCTTATGTCTCTCTCTGTGCTCAGGAATCACTCCTGATGGGGCTCAGGGGACCATATAGGGAGACAGGAATTGAAGCCAGGACATAAGTTTATCTGCCCAGCACATAAGTCAAGTACCCTACCCATTTTGCTATCTCTCCGGTCCCTAGAATAGAGGACCTTGTGAGTAAAGATCATTTCTCCTTCCAGTAATAGTAAAAGATACTTTGTGTTTCCTTCTAGATAGTTCAATGTGTTTGTGTTTAAATCTTATATTTGTAGTTTATTCTATATTGAGATATGATCTTAATATCAAATAATTCACCCACCAAAAATTCAATTAATTAAAAAATTCAACTAATTTTTGGTAAATTCAGATTTTCATAGGCATTATCTGGTAGTTACTTTGTGTAAGACTGGAGAGAGTGATTTAGCATAGTCTTTTTTTTTTTTTTTAGGTAGGCATAAGTTTTTAAGTGAATGTAAGTTATTAACACTGTTTATGAAATTTACTGTTATTTTACAGCTTCCTTGAGATAGACTAGGTACCTTTGATAAATAAATTTTACTCATACAAGGGTATTCTAGAATTAGGACTTAAAAATATTCAAAATAAAGGCATTGGCACTATTAAGGCAAACTACACCGCCTACCAGACTGAAGAAAGAAACCCAACTAGAAGATTTTCTTTCTCTTCCTATCTTACTCTGTTTAGTCTATTTAAAACAATTTATGGATGGCCTTTTATAGACTAGGCTTCGTGACAGTTATCAGAGAATAGGAAAGAAAGCCAATGGCCTTGTAAAGGAAGAGATCCAGATCCAGAAGTCAGCCAACGAGGAGAAAGACAGATGCAATACAATAGAACATATTTCCCAAGAATGGCATGGAAGGCAAATCTCTTAGATGGAAAATCAACCTCCCCAAATGAAACCTCCCCATATCAATGCTGAAGCTATTGACATAGTTTGCTCAGCTATAAGTAAATGAGTTTACATCGGGTTCCTAGCATGGTGTGTGGTAAACAGCAGGAACTCTACAAGTTAGCTTCAGATAAAGAGATTTATAGATGTCAAGTTTCACCCTTTCTTCACAGCTGGCCAGGAGCCTTTGCTTAGACTACAGGAATCCAGAGACTGGACCATGCGCTATCAGCAACAAGGAGATTTCCAAAATCTCCATTGCCCAAGACAACGAAGAAGACAGTGTCCACACCAAAGGCAAATTTGATCTGAAGCAGGAAGAATCTACTAGAAAAAAAATTTTTTTTTCTTGTCCTGTAGCTGAATTTTTTAAAAAGCAGCACATTTTCTTTCTAGTGAAAAAATAAACAAGGCTAGGGGAAAATGTTTGGAGGCTGAAGCTTTAAAAATAACAACTCCTAGCCAAAATAGAGAAATGTTCCTTTCTCAGTATAAAGTCTCTGTTTACTTAACAGACTGCACAGCGGCAGGGGAGGCGAGCTCCGTGTGGGAGGCAGCCTACATTTACCTGCTGTGAGCAAAAGATCAGCCCAGAAAATGGAGAAAGTGGAGTCTGCACAAGTCGCTTTTCTTCTTGTCCTTCTTCAATAATCTCCCTCATTTTCCCATGAAGAGCCGCTTCTGAACTCTCCCAGTAAGAGTGCACTCACCCTGACCCCGTTGCACTGGTTATCCTGATATTTCCTACCAGCCCTCACTGCTGATTGGCCATGCAGAGCAATCTGCTCTTGGACCCATGTGAAGAGTTGATTGATTAAGCCTTCATGCCAGTGCAGACCCACTCACTCTGTGTGTGTGTGTGTGTGTGTGTGTGTGTGTGTGTGTGTGTCTGTGTGTGTGTGCCTGTGCACATTGGGCTCCCAGATGGGTGGAAGACAGAGAGCACAGAGCATTGAGACACGACTGCAGAGGGTCTCTGGTGTTCACCTTTCATGGGACGCCTCATGGTTTCTGATATGAATCTGGGGTTGGAGGGTCCCTGTCACGGTGGATCCCAGCAAGGCCACTGTTTTCTCAGCCGTGCTGGGTTTAAAAGAATTTGATGCTGCTGTAACACAAAGAATGAATCCAACTTTCTTTTTGATTGGAAAAACCCATGTGGTCTAGACACTTAAGCTGAGCCACTTATATGTATACTAATTTGCATACTAATAGAAATGATAGACTTTCATCATCCTGTTGAAATTTCTGGTAAATCTCTCAAACACTGCCTGACTTGGAATGGCTGCTGACAGGGTACCTGTGGGTCTCCAGGGAGTGTTAGTACAAGGAGTAAAGGCTGTGCCTGGGGGTTAGGGAGCAGATAGGTACACCTTGGAATCTAAGGTCAGATTCCAATCTAGGTGGTGTTTAAAGATTATACAGATACTGACTATCTTCTTAACATGAAGGAAGCCTTTGCTGTCCCTGAAGTCACTTCCTGTTGGGTTTGGGGCTTCATTTTGGAAGTCCTGCCAAAAAATTCTAGACTAACTTCAAGGAGCCCGTCCAACTAGTGCATTTCATTCAATCTCAGAGGCAATAGATGAATCAACTGCTTTAGTAATGGAATGATAACTAAAGATCTGGAGGTAAGGTTGCAACAGTAACAGGAAGTGTTCTTGAGGCTGATCACCACATGGGGTACAGAAGCACTGGATCTTTTCAATGTTTTTTTACAATTTTTGGACCACACCCAATGGTGGTGAGGACTTACTCCTGGCTCTAAACTCAGGGACCACTCTAGAGAGGTTTGGGGGACCATACAGGGTGCCAGGGATGGAACCCAGGTTGGTGCTTTGCAAGGCAAGAGCACTCCCTGCTATGATATTGCTTGGGCACCAAGTCAGCACCTTCTTTGAAAGGGAGAAAAGATTTAGACCAGGATGAGTATTAGGCACAGCAGCCATGCTGGTGCAAAGGAAGATCTCTTCCAATGACAAGTCCGGAGACCAAAGCACCCAAGAATCCTCTCACACTTGGGGATCTTGTCAAGCTCCGCATCCTCTTCAAACAAGCACAATCTCTTCACACTTCAATAATGAGGAAGGCTCAGGATTTGAAAGACTATTTGTTTTTATGTAAGCCCAGGAAGTTTCTCCTCTACAAAGATGAAATAGTCTGTTTTCCAGAAGCCAGAAAGAACCCACTAAATCCTCCACGTGAAAAATAGGAAGCTTTGGCCATTTTACCGCACACAGCTACAAAGAAAAAAACTGCTGGAGGGCCCCACAGCTCCTGGAGAATGCTCCAGGTCCCAAACAGAGCTGACATCACCGGGAGGTCCCAGATGGGGTAGGTGCTGCATCCCATCTTCTCCAGATGGAACCCCCCTTGACCATGAGCCTCTACAAGCATAGCTATGGCATGCGGGAACCAGGAGATTTTTTCCAAGCCGGGCGACATCTCCTTATATACAAAGTGATCGATGGAAAGTAAATTACCCAACGTTTCTCCCTGAAAATCAGGCTTAACTCTTTTGCAAACCACAACACCCCAAAGGAGAGAGAGAACAGAGGGGAATGCCCTGCCACAGAGGCAGGGTGGGATGGGGGGGATGGGGATACTGGGATCCGTGGCGGTGGGAAATGTGCACTGGTGGAGGGATACGTATTCTAAATAAATAAATTATTTAAAAAAAAGAAAAACAGGAAGCTTTAATAAGTCATCAAATGAAACTTGAACTTGTATATCTTAAAAACAATCTTACGAGACTGGAACATTGCATGTGGCCAATCCAGGTTTTATCCCCCACATCCCCTCTGTTCCCCCAGACATTACCAGGATTAATTTCTGACTTCAGAGTCAGGAGTAACCCCCAAGAATCAATGGGT